ACTCAGCCTATGTGGACTCCGCTGCAGTAGGGCGCGGCGCTCCTACCCCCTCCACGCCCACCGCTGGATTGTGTACCGCTTTCCTTTGTTTTCGGTGGGTAGCACGACACGACACAACGGATGCATAGATATATATACACTATGTTTAGATACATAACAAAACCTATGAATCTAGAAAAACCAAAAAGACATAATTTGGAATGGAGGGAGTACTAATCCGGCTTGTGGCCCCATCCAGGCTTCTTTGAGGGTTCTAATAACATCAAACATTTATTGGATACCTTGAAACCCCATAGATCAAGCTAATTGTCCATAGCTAAGCCCTATTGCAGGCCATTGCTTCGAACATCTTTGGGTCAATGAATCCTTCCTTGACCACCAGCTTCCCTATTGTCAGCGCGTCGCTGTCATTGCTAGGCCTAGGATCTTGGTGACAACAAGGTAGAGTCTGTTCGATCCAACACATCACTTAGTCTGCATCTACAGGTGCATATATTTTCATCACAATGCGTGTTTGGATGGCCACAACATCAATATAAGTTTGATGGATTCCACGTGTCAGCCTCACAAATAAACAAAATTGCATCCATTCATACAGTTCACCGAACAAAATCTCAGTATTTTTTTTACACCCATCCGCTCATATCTTACCATATGAATCCTGCACCCAAAAAGCGGGCTAACGGATAGGGCCACGTCGCCCGTTAAGACGATAGCCGTTGGATCGAGCGCTCATATGATCCGGTCCGTCCGATGCGGGTTGGTTCGGGTCTGCTACCCGCTTTGCCGCCGTCCCTGACCATCGCGAGCCTTCTTGGGCCGCATGTGGCTCTGCTAGCTCCCCTTCGCGTCCATCTCCTTCCCCGTCATAGTCTGCGCGGCCACACATGCTTTCTTTCCACCATCCGGCGTGGGTAGGGGCCCAATGACCTTAAGCGCGCGGGGGGGGCGCGGGGCGCCGTGGCCCCGACCATCCGGCGTATGCGCCCCAGCCGCCCTCAGTGACTCCGGCGCGGCGGTGGTGTGGGGTGTGGCGGCTCACTCACGGCCACCCAGCTGCAATTTCTTTGTCTTGCAGCGCAAACATGGCGGGCATGGCGCGGCGCCAGCCTACTCCGCCTGTCTCGGTCAATTGACCGTCCAAAGTGCCCCGGTCCGCTTCCTCTTCCCTCAGATCTGTTCTCCAACACCCGCTCCCAACTTGTTTCTGGATTCCCAGCATCGGTTGATGCTATAGGTATAAGATTGGTTAGGATTGCAAGATACAATCATCGATTCGAGTACGTTCTCGATTTTGAACTTATTTGATTTCATTCTCCTATCATTGATTGAGAGCGCTTATAGGAGTTGTCGGGCTAACTAATGTTCACATTAAAGTTAATTAATGAGGCCATATGTGTTGTGGCACTTCATCAAATGATGTCAATCTGCACCTATTCTTCTATGACGAGTCATCCTCATGCAACAATACAATTCGATTGTGCTATTGACCCCATTGGCATGCCTCCCTCCTCTGAATTGTTTTGCCTTAATGTACTTCTGAGATCTTCAGTGATGTGTACAAATGCATCATTTGTGTTCTTACCCTGCCCTATACACAATCTTTCTTGGTTGTATCTAAGGGTTATTTGCTAGCAGTTCTATTCTACCCTATTTAATAAGAACTTAGATCTCTAAGGGTTATTTGCTGGCAGTCTTGTTCAACCCTAATTAATAAGAACTCTTATCTTTAATCATAATGGATTCTTGGAATTAGAGAATGATTCAACCATTTAGGAAACCGGGCTCAACCTTTCAAGAAAATTTTCTATTTCAGATTCCTATATCCCTTTTGATTTACTAACTCTATGTAATCTTAAATTAACATTAATATCCCTTTTAATTTATGAACCCTATGTAATTTTAAATTAACACTATTATCAACTTTATATATAAATTCAAGTTCATTATCTATTAAATGAGCATAAGTACTAGACAATCCACTGTTGTTGTATCCATATGGATAACCAAAGTGAGGAACTTCCTCATTTAGTAACTTATAAAACAAGAGATAAAATTCAAGCATTCCTGCGAGACAACTTCCTTTATTCCAATTGAAAATTGCATAATTTTTTGTTTACAAAATCTAATGCCAAACTAACCCCCAAACATTCAACACATATCAGTGTACTTAGTGTGGGCTGGAATACCACCATCTTATGATCAAATATGCTCTTATAAAATTGAATAATTTCACAGATTTCATCAGTAAAAACATACCAAAAGAGTATACTTCAAGTATCTATTCGAACTTGAACATTTCAATCTCTTCCAATTTGGATTCAGACCGCACATTGTCTTGATCCACGTATTATGCAAATCAGTGTATAGCTCTCCAAATAGTTCTTTATAATAATATCCTAATTGTCATTTCCTCTGAGGGTGAGTTATAGGTGCCGACAATTCTCACATTGTCATTTAACTTGCAAAGCTTGCTCTAATTCATTATGCTCACTTATCTACTCTCGTTGATTCCTCATTTGCAAACTAGACTACTTTTGCTTTCCTACTATCAATTACGTCTTTGAATCAACATATGATGGGAGCTGCTGGAGTCAAACATATTTTTTACTTGGGTCACAAATGGCCAAAAATTGCGAGGGATTAATGCCGAGTTGTCGAGTCGATCGACCCGTTGTAACGTGATTCGCCTCTCCGCCACATCACTTCACTGCTTTGCACCGCGTCTCGACAAAATATCCATCACCTAATACAATAAACCACACAAATTGTGTTTAAGTGATACTACACATCTTATAAATTGTCAGATCTCATCTTTGTATCTGCAAGAAAGTTAAACATGAACCACTAAATTTCTGAAATTCATACAGTTGTTTACTTTAGCAATGCTTTTGCTTATTGTAAGGAATAGGCTAGAGGATGTCATACTATGCCCCTATTCGCCAGAAGTTATTATATGTATTAACTATTTAACTCGTTCAATCCGTAGTACAGATTTTCACTCGATTAGAAGTCCATATTATATTATTCCTAAGGTATTACAAAATCGATATGGACAAGAAACTGATGTGCAGTCTTCTATTCTTCGCTGTTGTATTCAAATCCCATCAAGTACTGCGTGTTCATAGGGGTGAGTGTGTGTGCGTGTTGTGGGCGTCTGCGTTATACTGTGTAATTCTCAAAAAAAAATCTTAAATTTTCCTAAGCCTTCACTCCATTTGCTTGCCCTTCTATGTCATTGTCTTCCTCATATCTCTATTTCCAGCACAACTTATATTCCTAAAATTGCTTTAGGAACTACAAAATGTAAACTTATCTTCTTTTTTACTGATGAAACTAATTATTATCTATGCATGCCAGGCCATCTTTGGATCTATGAGAATGAAATGATCATTGACGAAGACCCCAGTAAATACAACATATAATTGTATTGATCAAAGAAGATACAAAATAGTATATAATTTTGTCGCATAGGGATACCAAATCACAATTTCTGCACCTCCGAGACTATGATTGAGTGAATTCTCTTCACTACATGTACAATTTACTGTCTTTAGAGCATCTCCAAAAGTTCCTTGAAAAAACCTCTCTCGATTCAACCAATTCTTCTCTACGAGAATTTGTGCTTACATCCACGCACTTCACGACTTTCATATTTATATTGCAATCACTATGAGGCTCTTCAAGGGGTCTAACAAAAATCTGACAAGATAATCAATCCAAGTCTCTCTTATCATACATATCTTTCATTGGATCTCTTTGCTTCTCCATTGAAGATATGGATACAAATAAGACTCTAAAACAATCTGCAATGAATACAAATTGCATCACACTATGGCGCCGTTCGCTGGTCTGGAAAAACCAGACCAGCCGGCTGCTCCTTCTCACACGCTACGGTACATCTTCCAGCCGCTACAGTATTTCTCTCTCACACAACCAGCCGCTATAGTATTTTTGCTTCTTTTTTTAGACAAGTGAACGAGGCCTATATAGCAACTGTGTAGTGCTATTAGAACTCGATAAGGGCACTCAGCATGGCCAGCCAGCGTCCCACGTCGCGTGCTTTTTGAGGCCGTTCGATCGGGCACACGGACGGTCCAGATCGGGCGAGCCACGATCATTTTTCCAAAACCCCTTCTATTTTTTGAAAATCAACCCACACTTCAAAGGCCCTCTCAGCATATTTTGCAAAAAAAACTCAGATTATTTCGAAATCAACCCGCAGTCTAGATGGGATGGGCTCCGGGTTTTTTTTTCAAAAAGACCTTCTCTTTATCGAAAATCAACTCGCGCTCTAGAGACCCTCTCAACAATTTTTGCGAAAACCTCCTCAGATTTTTCTCAAACCAACATACAAGCCACCTTTGATTATATTTGTTTTTTTAAATAAAATAAATTAGCTAAAACTTTAAAAATGCATAGTAAATCACATAAAAATTGTAAATTAGAAAATCCAGTTGATCTAAAATCCTCACGAGTAGAACTATGCAGTGCATCCATAATATGACATGTTTTAGTAAGAATTTTTTCATATAAACTTTTACCTATGCTTTTTAGGGCTAAATAAAATTATACCTTTATGATGATAAAGTCTTGAAAATACATAAAAATCACAAAATCAAAAAAAAATACTGAGTTTCTCATCGATACAACTATATTCTTATTGCCGCTGACATTCCCGGCCATCAGATCGGGCGCGTGAACGGCCAGAGCGTGCGAGGCGTGTTTTTTTTGCAAAAAAATCCTCGAACTTTAGTCGAATCAATCCACAGTCCATCAGCCTGTTTGGGAGAGGCCGTGAGCGGATTATTTATTTCGTGTTTTTTTGGTGTAAAAACCTCGAACTTTAAATTTCTGATCAACCCGAGCAAGCGAGCGAACAGGCTGCATGTCTCCTCTCTCAGTTTTTTTTTTGCAAAAAGCGCTCGAACTTCTGTCACGGCGGCGGCGAGGCAGCTATGGCGGGGCGCAGTTGGGCGAGGTGGCACTGGCCCCCCACCATGGCGGGGCAGACCCGCCCCCTGGCGCGGCGCGCCGTAGCCCTGGCCCCCAGCCATGCCAGGGCGAGGTGCCCTTGACCACCGGCGCGGCGGCGAGGTGGCCCCGGCGCGGCTGCTCCCCGGCAAGGGCGCGGCTCGATGGGCCCTCGGCGCACGGCGGCTCCACCGGCGCCGCGGTGCTCGGGCGGGGTGGACTCCAAAGCCGTCGCGGCTACAACGTCGAGCGAACTTGAGGTAGCAGCGGGGGGCTGCGGCCGTCGATTCCCATCGCGCCACTGTTGCTCTTCTTGGCTCCGCTACAGGCGAGCGATCTCCTTCCTCATGTTCATTGATCTCTAATTCTCTATGATGTTTTTGTCTTCCCTCCCTATTTGCGCCAGCACACCGCCTGTTTCTTCCCGTTCGCTGCCTGTGTCTTTCGCCGCCTTCCTCAGCATCACCTCTACCACCACCATCCCGGCGAAGCCAATAGCATCGCAAGCATACCTCTTCTAGTGCGCGCGAGGCCTCCGGCGTCAGCAGCTCCAGGTAGTGCCGTCTCTTCTTTCCTCGGACCTCCATCTTCGCCCTCACCTCCTGTTCGTCGCCCCAAGCATCCAGGCGTCTGGTCCTCCCTCCGTGCTCTGCCCAGCCCCATCCTCATGTCCTCTGCATCCAGCATCATCCAATGAAGGTATAGTCTCCATGCTCTCTCTCTACGTGTGTGCGAGACAGACATTTCTCACGTATTGATTAGGTTCATTCAATGTGAGATGAACTGGATAGGATCGTCAAAGTGAAAGGGAGGATGCCGCATGTTCACTGACAGATGGCATGGGGAATCAAGAGCAGCTGCTTCCAATTGAGGGAAGATGCAGACATCTTTGGTATGCTTCATGATGGACAGGCTGCTTTCTGTTGTTCTGCAGACGAGAGGAAGGTATACAGCTGCAGCACCCCCAATTCCTTTATGTGCTTCGTCATGTAAATGTTCCTACTTGGGCCTATTTTGCAGTAGTTCGCAGCTGATGCTTCAAGTTATGACCAGATTTTTGTTATGCTGTTTTTGGCCCCATCTTATATGATTCACAGGCTAAGGAAACTGGACATAATGGTTTATCTGCGGCTCAAGTTCATAGCAGCATCAAATACGGATACATTTTCCAATCCAACAATTTTAGGGACTTCTGATCCTCTTTATACCAACAAGGTACATCATTTTAATTTGATTTATACATTCCATCACATTTAGGCCATGGTGTCTTCATTTTGGATGGAAACATTGTCATATATTACCTAACCATCATTGTTATTCTTTGCAAGCTGCATACTGGGATTCTTTAAATGTTGCCCCAAAAATATGTTCCACACACTTGTTTCCTTATTTCTTTACAGTTCATTGCACATGTCTGCCTGTGCCCACCAAACCTAAATTTATATGCCTGAGAACTTCCAACTTCATGCTACTGTGTATGCACACTGAATACAAAACATATTGTAACATTTTTGCCGATGTTATTTTACAGATGCATGATTGAGCCGGTGCAAACATTTTAAAGTTAAGCAGCCACATGCTCCTACTACCCGTTTCGCTGTGTTCACCCAGGTCTCGCTGAAACAAGATAGGGCCTAAGCATCTTTGATTATGGGTTACAAAAATTGGAAGCCCTTCATGTTAGTCCGTATCTTGTCATTTTTTTGGCTAATGGTGGCTCTTCTATCATGTTCATGTTAGTCTGTATCCAATTATTACCATAGGGATTTTCTAACACCCTATTACCTTCATGTTACTTCCATAAATGTATGTACTTGCGTCACTGTGGCTCTTCTCATTCTTTTAGCTAATGGTGGCTCTTCTCTCATGAAGGTAAGCTTCTCCAGTTCATTTTGGATTCAAGCCCAGAATGATTTATTATAAGAGCTTTCCTATATGTATAGTATCCCATTTTGAGATCTCCGTTTATAAAATATATAATTTCCCTTCATGAATCAATATCAGTAACTTTCTTAGGTTGCCCTAACTTTTACAAGAACAGATAGGTCAGTTTATCTTGGACATTGGTCAAGTAGCCATATAAGCATGTTACAGATTTTTAGTTAGGCCTTGCATAAGATCAAATTTGTGACCATTGTTTCAGGCAGCAGGCAAACAAAAAAAATCCTGTTACCAATAGGAAGTTCTGAAAAAAATTATGTCTTGGGATATATAGGTGGGCCCTGGCTTGCACAACATAAATTCCTTTATTGTAGAAAAGGCAGATATTGCACGAGGAATACTGCAGAAGTATATGAAATTTGCGCCCTCCAAGATGTTGCATATTAAAAGTTTAAAACTTTAAAATAGCACAGACCTTCACAACTGGCCTACGATTGCTAGGATAGAACCTTGAAGCTAATTTGTGGGAGCTTTGAATGAGCTCTGGAAAGAGTGTAGATGCTTGGATGGGTGTATCAAATGATTAAGCAAATGAATTTTGAGCATTTTGGTCAACAGGCTGAACTTTTGTTATCCTATAGTAATAAAGAAAATCACATTACTTCATAAATGAAAAATGGAATGCCTATATAAGCCTACCAAATGGCATCTAAACCAGGATAGAGGCAACAATTAAAATCTCTATAATAATTGTTGTCTACAGTGACTTAAGCCTTTGCCTCTCTGCAGCTGTTGCATTCCCTTTGAAGAAGAAAGCATACTGTGTGATACTGCTATATTTTACAGAGAGAAAAGAGTAGGATTGGAAGACAGCAAAGGGCGCCGGTGCCACTACAACCTATTAAGGGGTATTTTAGTACTAACTTAATTTATTTTTTCATTTGCTATGTTCAGAGTTGTCCCTGTTGTATGTATGTATGTACATGTACAATAATATCAATCAAGGGCTGCAATAATATTTTGAGGTGTTCAGTTGCAATTATCTAATTAAAAGCAAAGTAGCTCATTAGCTACCTTATAAAAAAGAAAACAGTAGTAACAAGTACTAAAATTAGTAGTCACTATACTTTTCACCTTCCCCAACTTAAAGAAGTTGTTTGCTTACAGTACTATATGCAGTCCTATTACCAAGAATGTAGATCCCAATATATATATATTGATTTGATTACTATTATGACACCGTGCTTAAATGTAACTAACCACATCCATATAACAATTCTCTTGTATCCATTCCATACCAGTAAATTGTATTGCTTACCCGATATGACCATAGAAGCTGCAAAAGAGGCTATACCCCAAACCCAAGGCAACGATTTTGACCATATTTTAGTACTTATTAAAGCTAGGCAAGTATTATCAAGGTAAGCAAAACCAAGCATGCTACTCACCTGAATTAGAGTGAACTAGCAAAATTAAAAATCTAATACCACTGTCTTCACTAAAATCAATAACACTATCTCATCGCACTTCTTGCTTTATTAGAGTGAACTAGCAAAATTAAAATCTACCGTGGCAACACTGCAGAAAATATTAACCACTATTAACATTATGAGCAGTAATTGCACACTGGCCTGATCACAGTTTCAAGTATCTCACCAATCACACTCTCCTTAGATTTTGTACACCTTATAAGCCTGTCCAAAATAACAAGGTACAAGTCCACGTCGAGCAACCAAATATACTCTGAGGAATCCACTCTGCGGCCCATATGGTCTGAAAGCCTAGACGAATGGCCCAGTAGTAGTAGTGGCCCACCTGACCTCTCGGCTCGCAAACAAACCCTAAGCCACCGATCCGACGGCGGGGATCTCCCGATCAACCCACAAAACCCTACCCGTCACCGCCCCCTTATATAAAAGGCTCGCCCCCAGCGCGCCGCCGTTCCTTCGCGCACACAAGCAAACCCTCCCCCCCTCCGCCGCCCGCCGCCCGCCCGCCCGAGGAGGAGGAAGAGAAGACGAAGGAGCAGCAGCACCGGGCAAGATGAAGACGATCTTGGCGTCGGAGACTATGGACATCCCGGAGGGCGTCACGGTGACGGTGGCCGCGAAGCTGGTGACGGTGGAGGGCCCCCGCGGGAAGCTCACCCGCAACTTCAAGCACCTCAACCTCGACTTCCAGCTGCAGGAGGGCGGGCGCAAGCTCAAGGTGGACGCGTGGTTCGGCACCCGCCGCACCATGGCCGCCATCCGCACCGCCATCTCCCACGTCCAGAACCTCATCAAGGGTGTCACCAAGGGGTACCGCTACAAGATGAGGTTCGTCTACGCTCACTTCCCCATCAACGCCTCCATCACCAACAGCAACACCGCCATCGAGATCAGGAACTTCCTCGGCGAGAAGAAGGTACCCATCTTTGTTTCGCGTAGCAGATCAGATCTGGGAGGGTTGTGGTGTGTTCTGACTTGTGTCTGACTGGTTGGTTTTCCTGATGAACCCGGGATCAGGTCAGGAAGGTGGACATGCTTGAGGGCGTGACCATCCTGCGGTCCGAGAAGGTCAAGGATGAGCTCGTCCTCGATGGCAACGACATCGAGCTCGTCTCTCGCTCCGCCGCCCTTATCAACCAGGTGAATACCTACCTGTTGATTGCATCCCGTCTGTCGTCGCTTATCATCTCTTACTGGTACATATACGAGTTGGCTGCTATATGTAGTGCCAGATGTGCTTTGATGTGGTAGATCATGATCCTTGCATTTATTCCTCATTATTGCTCTGTTATGAAGCAAGTATTGCTTGTGTAGATAAATTTTACCAATATCAAATTTTTAGGGTTTTATCACATTGGCTGTGCTTATATGGTAGGAACCAGGTGGTTTCTGCTTGAAATGTCCAGGTAGATCACATTTTAAGTTCATATGACACTAGTGCTGTCAAATACAAACTAGAACTGTAGTCCTGCATCTCGTGATGTATAAATATCCATCATTCATGTGTTCAGCCATTTCAGTTTATGATTTTGTGCTCTCAACAAGTGTAGCATTTTAAGGCTCTGTATTTAGTAACAGCGAGAACCTAATGCCCAGATAATGTTATGATTGATCTTAGTCCTAACTGTGGAAATGCACGTGTAGTAGATTACCTATGTGATGAATTCAGTGAGAAACTATTGTTGTCTTATTTCATTTTTGTACTTGTTGCTGACATTGTGATATTTTACACATGGTATGTCACTTTCTAGTGCAATGCTTATGTCAACTATTGTTCCTGCTTCTATCTATTTTGATCTTTGTTTTGCTCTTTGAAGCGCATCTTGAATTTACTAGTTTTGTTTAATGTTGTTATATAATTCTCATTACTACTGGTGGATTGGATTGATGTGCTATGATTTGTGTTACTGAACGAGTTTTCTCCATTTCTCTTCAGAAATGCCATGTCAAGAAGAAGGATATCAGAAAGTTTTTGGACGGTATCTATGTCAGCGACAAGGGTGTGATCGAGGAGGAGCAGTGAGCGACAAAGTAGCTAAAATGCCTGGAGATGATCCAGAAGTGCTACATCTACCTGCTGTGTTGCTATTATCGTTTGGGTTGCAATTTTCCGAGACTGAATTTTGTACTTGGTTAGGATGTGTTATGGAGCATGCTATCTTATCCTACATATTGTCGTCTCTGTTTAAGAATATGAACCTTGTTTCTCATTCCCTAAAGATAGTTGACTGCCAGTGTTCGTGGTTGAAACGAAAACCAGAGGTTTATGAACTGAATTTGCGTATTCTTTTATCTTGTTTTGAATTTTTCATCTCAGTTTAAATTCTATTTTCCCAGGAAAGGCTTAGCCCTTGCTGTTTTTCTATTTCATGTTACACCAACACGCTGAATGCGGTGGTTGGAACTCGGATTGAGATTTTGAATGGGCACTGATATGCTGTTTTACTTTGATTTGATTCGTTTCAAATTTCACATTCACATTGAATGTTTTATCTAAATTTCCTAATTGGAACCTGTACGTGTATTCACACTTTCGTGCATAGCAGTATTGGCAAAATATTTCATGTCCTTAAAAGGTATGGACATTGCTAATGCAAGATTGCAAATTACTAATGTCTAAATGGATCCACCTATCATTAGCGGTTCAAAACTTCCATAAGTTTATGAACTCTAGCGAAACCTGGGTTTTTTCAGCAACTCTATAAAGCAAGCATTCTTCTAGCGAGTGTGCGCCAGAAAAACACAAAGTTCATGTTGAGTTCAGCCGCAGATTCTTCTGAGCACGAACATGCCATATCCGATGCCAAGAAACGTGGCAATGGAGATCCCGAAGATGCCGACGAGGATTCCGGGCACGACGAGCGAGGTCCAGCCTTTGGCCGTGGCCATGGCAGCCGCCGTGGTGGGCCCGCCGACGTTGGCGTTGGAGGCGATGAGCAGCGGCTTCCTGTCGATCCCCATGATCCTGCCGGCGGCGAGCACGACGGCGAGGTGGACGGACACCTGCACGAGCGCGAAGGCGAAGACGCTGGGCGCCCGGGTGACGGCGTCCACGACGTTGCCGTTGGCCCCGACGACGGCGAAGAAGAGCTGCATGAGGATGAGCGCCAGGGACTCGCCGGCCGGCGCGAGCCTGCCGAGCGGGCCCGGGAACGCCGTGGCCAGGAACACCACCAGCGCCGTGACGCACGGCAGCGTGCCGCCCTGGAGACCCAGCCGCGCGGCCATGGCCGACCCGGCCTTGCAGATGATGAACGACAGCGCGACCGCCGCGCCGCCATTCAGCACGAACAGCCGGCCCCCGCCGCCCTCGTCGGGCTCGCCGTCCTTCTGTGGACTCGCCGTCGCCGTCTTGGGCTCTGCTGGGATGTTTGACGCCAGTGAGAAGAGCGCCATGAAGTAGAGCGCCGAGATGAGGTTGTCCGCTGCGACGCCGGCGGCGAGGACGGACGGCGTGAGGCCCAGAGCCTCCGAGATGGCGACGTAGTTCACCGCTGCTCGTTGCAGTCGATGATGTCATCAGTGGGCAGTGGCAGTGATGATGAGTGAGTAAGCAAAGCATTTACATTATTACCTCCGCCAATGTAGCTGCCCATGAGTGCAGCTGCGATCTTCCAGCTATCTTGGCCCAGCGATCTCATGGGGATCAGCAGGTACGCCACCGTCGTGCCGATTACAGTTGCGACTGCACACCAAAATGTTCAACATTCATTCGATTGATTGATAGATGAGCCTGAGGCCTACGAAAAGAAAAGAAAAAATATGCGATTTTGTCCGCAACCAGATCCGAGAAGGAAGGCCTTGAGGAGGTCGCCGGTGGTGCGGACGACGCGGCGGAGGTCGGCGCCGAGGAGCAGCAGCGGGACGGCGGCCGGCAGCAGGTACTCCATGACGGCGTCGTGCGCGGGCGCGCCGGGGGTGACGAGGCCGACGGCCGTGGCGGCCAGGCCGGCCATGATGCTGACCAGCGCCCCGCTGAGCGTGGCGCCCCACGACGTGTTCTCCTCCGCCCTTCAGTTGGCGAGCAAGGCAAGCTCCGGTCAATCGGTCATCGGTGACAAGGCCATTGCTCGGGTCTCTTACCATGTGCCGAACGCGGCGGCGGAGAGGAGGAAGGCCCAGTTTCCCCAGTGGTCGCCGGGCGCGATGGCCACCGTGGCTGCGGCGGCGGGCGGGCGGAGGGCGTGGCGAAGGCGAGGGGAATAGGAGGCGCACTTGTCGTGGCCGTGGTTGTGCCGGGTGGTGCAGGTGTGTAGGCGAGGCGGCAGCGGGCGGCGGAAGAGGAGGGGGAAGAGGCGACGACGGTGCGGCGGCGACGGCGAGGGGTGGTTGGAGAGGAGAAGCTGAGCCTGAGCGGCGGGTGGCGCCATGCCGGCCCCCACCTCACCCGAAACAAAATCCTCTGTCCTGTTGGGGCGCGCGCCTGGGCCAAGTGTTTCATTGCCTCTTCTTGTGCACTGGACACCGGTGCTGCCGGCCGGCCGGCCATTTGCTCCTGCTCCTACTGTATTTTTCTTGACATTTTACCTGTCCTTTTAGAACACAATTTTTTGTTTTCTCGCATGGAGAAAGTGACATGGAGTCTCATGATCATCTTTATTTTATTCTGCTGATGATGTCAAAATGTTTGTGACCTTTATTTTTTTTCGTTTTCTTCTTCAGAATAAAGGATTTATACGTATAGGATGTTTTCCTCTTTAGAGAAAAATGAATTTTACTAATCTACGAGAGTCAAGATGCCCAATCAAGCCGACTGAGTCCCTCCAAAATTCCAAAGATGCAGGCGGCCGAACCCGGACCAATATTCGGCTGCATATAGATGTCAGTGTGACCATGTTGCCACTTGTCAGTTGCCCCTGTCCGTTCCACCGATTTCCAAATGTTTGGTCCCCGGCGATGCACATCATGAGTTCATGACAGCATCTAACCTCGATTAGCACTGCTTGACTACCACTCGTTTCTTTCATCATAAAAAGGGTTCGCTTTGAAAGAAAAAAAAAAGATATAAATCATGATGTAATGACCGGAGAAGTTGATGTTGCAGCATCGTTCAGCTGTAAAAGGGTTCGCTGTTTGAAAGAAAAAACGAACATGCATCGTGGGGTAAAGTCATGATTTGTAGGATGACCGGCTGGCCGCAGAGGAGTTGATGTTCGGCAGCATCGTTCAGCTGTAAATATCAAATTAATTTGTTTTAAAGATGTTTAAGACTGTAAACACGTCTACGAATGAATGGGTTTCAGAAAGCGACGTGATACTGAAACACCACAAGGAGAGACAGAAGACCAGAAGGTCGTCCACGAAGCTGCTTCTTCTCCATCGGATCCAGAGTCTCTGAAGCAGTCAAGGGCCAATCAGCATATCACAGGTAAGGTAGGACTGCAAGTCAGTAACTGCCACACAAGGATCATGGCAAAACTAATGCAAATGCTTAGCGCTAAAGATGGAGTCGGCCTCTTGTAACCGCTCCTGCAATAAACAAGCATAATCCCAAATGCCTGTCTCTCTCGTGCAGTGGCAAAGCACTCAGGTCTGGGGGCACCACAGCCTGGCACCATTTCTCTGCTCCTCACAAGCTCAGGATTCTGATACATGCACATGACATCACAGGTGGCACTTGCCCTCTTGTCTGTTTTGGTTTTCTTTTTTGAAGGAAGTCTGTTTTGGTTTTGGCATGGCTCTCATCTCAATCATCTGCCGCCAAGAAAAATATAGTCACAAATGCATCTTCTGTTCATCAACACAAATATTCAGGTTTTGGGGGACATACCTACCAGATTGGCAACAATTCCATGCATTTTGAATATACATACGTACGTACATATAAATACACACGAAGGAGTACGTGACGTGCCAAATGTCATACTACCTTTCAAGCCAATCATTTGTTGTTCATAGGATGCATACGTGTCTGCTCTGAACAGAAGCGTATGGACAGCACCAAGTCAAAGATTTGCAGATTCGCGCACACGTACAAACAGACCAATCATGACTCAAACATACACACCAGCAGGAGGTTTGCCATACCTACAGACACTGCAGGGTTATTATAAGGAACAGCATTCCGTTGATACTACACAGAAACAAGAATTTAGCTGTCATGTCTTATGTTCAGATAAACTCCTCGGCGTCTATAAATAGACCACAGTAGCACGAAATTAAGCATAAGTGCAACCAGCTCCCTAACATCTCCTCCTTCATCTGTCTGCTTCCTACTCTCTACAAAAGAAACATCTCCTTCGTTTGACAAAGATGGCGGAGAAAGCAAGCGCCGCTCGTCTCATCAGAGTTTACAGGGCTGAAAGGCAAAGGAGAGTTCGTCCGCTCCCACGGCGCGGACAGATTAAGCTCAAGATAGCACACATTGTGGTGCGCTCCATCGCTTCCGCACTCCTCAGGGCCCTTTCGCCACTCCCAGTTCTCAATCAGAAATGAACGTGACAAAATTGTAAAGTTAGTTGCTGCTCTAGGTTTGCTCCCTGTGTAATCTGTTTATCAGAAAACGGCAGTATGTAGAGGTCTTTCCTCTCTCTGCGGTATTGGTGTGAGTGAGCTTCATGAATGGCCCTGTGGTCTGTTATTCTCATTTTTCGTGCCTTGCTCCTGTGTTGCGTATTTAGCTTGTTGCTCAGCGTTGTCATTGCTATTAGGCCCATCGCCATCTGATTCTGATTCACTCTCAGAGCTATCGCTATCCGAACTATCTACGCAGACTAGACTCTTTGACGGCTTCATAGTCATACCAACGATACTTCTGATCCATGCCCCCTCGAAAAGAGAATTTCCTGTCGAGGTTGAGCCACCCGTATCCTCCGCATTTGATGAGCTTGACGATGTGCCAGTCAAGAATGTCGAGGCTGCTTTGCAAGCAGTCACGATTTCCTTTTTCGCTTGTTTCAGCTGTGTGCAGAGAAAAAGATCGATGAGATTCAATATGTGCCAATTTTATAAACTAAATTAATTTGGACAGTATTGCCAATGGATAAGGCTACTGCTACTGCTACTGCTACTGTTTCACATAATGGCATAAATTCCTTTGCATCAAGATTTTTAAGAAATATATTTCCAACACAATCTGACAGTGTACCACAACAATTTTCTATTAGATTTCCTTCAGCTAGAAAGAATGCACATTAATTTCTGAGTCTTCCCCATTCTGTTTCAGTTTGGTTAACATGATGGCATGGTCTACTTGCTATCAAGTTTTCAAAGAGTGAGATGCGGAACACAAAAGTCTAGAAGGTACACATAACTTGAGGGGAAATACATCAAATTCCAATGGTACAACAGGAGATGACAAAATTTCAAGAGAAACATAAAAATAGCAGAAAAGTCCAGAATGCATACCTTTACTGCTGTAGTTTCAGCAACCTCTAGAGCAGCATCACCCGCGTTTGCAAAGCGATTGACCCAACCTGCACATAATCAATCACTTTGGAGTCATAAATCAGTTTAATTTTGAAGATGTTTTCATGACTGGACTTCAGTTCAAAATAAAGGGCTTATATTCCAGCAGCCATTATAGACAAGGAACAACCAAATAATTTGTTTACGAGTCAAATGGTAAGAAATCATAAGAACCTGGAAGTTTTGGTACTTCAAGCTTTTCGCAGAAGGTATTGCAGAAGTGATTGCAGTTTCTTGACAGGAGTTCATATGACTGTCCAGGCCACTCCCAGCTCAGTTCCCTTAGTATCTGATTTACCTTGAGGATACAGCAGTTGGTCTTCCCCAGCACTATGGATTCACGATAAGTGTACATGGGATTTTTGCATGGGGGGCAGCTAAAAACCCCAGTGCCACGGTCGCAGTAGCCAAATGACCATTCTTCATCACCGTAGACCTGCTAGTCGAGATGCTCAGGAGTTGATCACAGTAGTGCCTCAACAATAAGCACCTACTAATGAATAAACATGCTAGGAATCCAATCGCAAATAAAATCATTGATACCAATACCATGGATGACTAATTTCCGTAGGATGAATCTACAAAAATTCATTAAAGAGAGCAGTAAATTAGCCTAACAATCAGTGCTCATTCTAGAGGGCCAGGAGGAGCTAAGCAGTTCACAGAACAAGGAGCAGAATGGTTATAAAGAATAAAGAGTGTTTTTTCTTTTCACAATTCATGGCATCATCGTTAGGACGACACAGAGATCTATCTTTTACCACAAGGCTGCATTCAACCCTACTGGATTAATAGGAAATCTCCAAGCCCCCATTGAGAATTACAGTTTGACGCCACACCCTCTTCAAGTAGCACGGTATCAGGACCCAGGCCAAATGGTGAGTACTGGCTAGCAGTTACATATATGTATCAGAAGTACAGTTTGTACGCTTGTCAATTCCAACGAAAAATCAAGTTAAATTCTTCACAGGAGCAATAAAAACATAATCGCCCCCATTCAGCCAACAGCATTGAATTAAGATTTGGGGGTAAAAAAACAATTGGACGCATTATATATAAAAAACGATTTCTATCTCTCCAGAAGACGAACCCGCTGGAGTCGTGATCCAATCTTTGTGGGCGTTGCAGGCATCCCAAATGGAGAAAAAAATGGCGGTTGGATCGGGACTCGGGAGGAGAAATGGATGACCTGGATGGCGGTGTGGAAGATGCCGCCTAGACCGATGGCGTCCTTGAAGAAGCGGTTGATGTGGAGCACGGTGGTGTCGGAGCCGGCGGTGGCGACGTCGTAGACGTGCGCGACCACATCCTGGCCCATCCCCCGGCGCGGCGCCTCGCCGCCGGAGATCGCTGGAAGGCAGGCCTTTTGCCGTAGTCCAATCTTTTTGCCGGAGCAGATGACGAACCGGGCCCACCTGTCGGACGATCACCGGCTGGGTCCAGGCAGGCAGTCTACACTTTGGCTGGCGCCTATTTTACGTTTTCGTTCTCTCTCTCTCTGCCCTCGTTTAAATTTAGGCGTAAAGTTTTTGATGTGTCATGTCAGGGTCATATGAAAGAGTCGTATGGAATATTTGAATATTAATACAAAAAATAAATTATAGAATCTGTCAGTAATTCGTGAGACGAATTTATTAAGCCTAATTAATCTGTCATTAGTCCATGTGTTACTCTAGCACCACATTGTCAAATCATGGACTAATTAGGCTTAAAAGATTCGTCTCGTAAATTAGTTGCAAATCATGCAATTAGTTATTTTTTTAGTCTATATTTAATACTCCATACACGTGTCCAAACATTTGATGGGATATAAAGTAAACTTTAAAGGGAAAAACTAAACAAGACCTTACTCCAAATTTTAAGTCATTTTAGCTTTTTAAGATACAGTATACATTTTGTTAGACATATATTATATCTAGATACATATTAAAAGCTACGTATCTAAAACGCCAAAATAACAGGG